AACTTGTTCTGGAGGAGAGAAATTAAATTCCAAATGTCATAAGGCAAACATGGAATTAACTTTCATGTTACTAATTGTCTGTTTGGTCAGGCTGAAAAAATCAGCTTATTTTGAGAAGTGATTTTTTCAAAAGTGCTTTTAAAAAAGTATTTTTGGAGAGAAGCATACAAAAGCAGTTTGTGTTTGGCTAATCACTCTGAAAAGCACTTTTGAGCAATAATTTGTGTTTGGCCAAACTTTTCAGAAAATGCTTTTAAGTATCAAATTACGAATAAGGACATGAATAAATTTACTTAATAGTTAATATTATAAGTAAATAAATAATGTTAAAAATTTGTTATTACATGCAATAATTAAATCTTTTTATTTTATTTAAGTAAAATATGAAAATAAAATTTAAAAGTACTTAATTATTTTAATATAAGTTAAATATATTAAAAATCATTCAACAAATATAAAAGCACTCACCCCTAAAGTCACTATATATTAGAAAGCTATCCTAAAAATAAATATTTATAAATTAATATCCTAAGTATTAGGTTTAACGGTTATTTTGGTATATATACTATATTTTGTTAAGGGTAGAAAGGTCAAAACGGCTTCTGTTTCTGCTTTTGGGAAGAAGCTACTTTTTTCTTCTTCTTCCCAAAAACACTTTTTTTTCTCAAAAGACTTGGCCAAACACCTCAAATTAGGGAGAAAAAATACATTTGAGAAAAAAAATATTTTTGGCCTTTTGAGAAGCTTAACGCTTTCAATAGGCGGTACATTTATCTCGTGCGTGCTTTACGCTTTGCATCGTTTTTCTGTATATGTTTTCCACATTTCAAATTTTGAAAATTTTACTAGTGAAAATAAAATTTTCGTGGAGCTTACTTTCCATGTCTTGGATAACACCCCTCCATGAGTACAAATAAACATTAGTCCTGGAACGCTACCTTTTAAAACGATGGTATTTATAACTATAAAAAGTTAAAGTTCTAAATAGAAAGAAAATAAAATCAAATATATTTTTGACATATAAGAATAATGCCTTATATATACCTAGTAAAGAGAGAAATTGTATTTTGTCTCACATACTAAGTCATTAGGGAAAAGATGAAAGAACGACTGAAATATGGGTACGTCATAGTCAATCCACCAACAACAGCATACCTAATGTATTTCTACTATATGAGATTTAAAGAGTATAATATGTATGCAGATCTTATCTTCATCTTGTAGAAGTAGAGAGATTGTTTATGCAAGACCCTCGACTTAAGAAAAATATTTTCCCAACAGCTTTGAAAAAAAAAACAGTACTAAAGAAGCTATGTTGAGACTGCTGGAAAAAAATAACAAAGCACTAACACACCTATTGGGAGTAGGGCGTGTCAATTAATTAAACAAGGGTTGTCTTGCATAAATAGGTTTCCTTTCTCTGTTTTAATTGATTGTTTTTCTCAAAAGAAACAGGAAAAACTCTCTCCATAATTCCTTAATCCTTTGTGAAAAATTATTGAGAAAAACGAGATCTTCTGCGAAAAAGTGGAATACTACTAAAAAATTCGGCAAAAACCGACCAAGGTCGATTTTTTTTACGAAACCGATCAACTTTGGTTGGTTTTCTTTGGCGCAAAAAATACGGGAAACTATTTTTGAGTCCCGCAAAATTTATATTTCAAAAAATCGTCCAATTTTGGTCGGTTTTTCAATTAAAATAAATAAAAATTAATATTAAGAAAACCGACCAAAATTGATCGGTTAATTCGGCGGGTCATTTAAAAAAACCGACCAACTTTGATCAGTAATTTTACTTTTTAATAAAACCGACCAACTTTAGTCGGTTATTTTCGTGCGAAAATACAATTAAAAAGTATAAATCAAATAAAAGACAATCTTAAAACAAAATGTACCAATGGTCTAGTGGAAGAATAGTATCCTGCCACAGTACAGACCCCAGTTCGATTCCCAGATGGTGAATCTTTTTATTACATAATTAAAATACCGACCAACTTTGGTCGGTTTTTTTTGCAATATTTTTTTTTTTGAATTTAATTGACCGACCAAAGTTGGTCGGTAATTTCCGACCAACTTTGGTCGGTATTCCTTTCCGACCACAAAAATACCGTCCATACGTAAATGGTCGCGTTTTGGTCGGTTTTTGGCCATTACCGACCAACGTTGGTTGGTATTTTTGGTTGGTTTTTACCGGATTTCTAGTAGTGGAATAACTTTTATAATACATGTACGATTTTAGACTTTGAATTTATACAACGTAATTCATATTATAGCATATTGTCGATTAGTGAAACAAGTATTGATCTATTTCGGGGAACTGTGTGTTCTTGATTCTCCGTTTTTCCTTCAGTTGGAATATACCAGTGATCATTTACTCGTTTATTTGAAAAGCAAAAGATACAACCACATGCTCATCTCCTCATGATTTAGTTCTTTTTACGAGTCGATCGCTAAAAACAAAAGGGAAAGAAAAAGAAGCAATACTGGAACTAATCTTTTCTCTTGCACAGTGATATAGGAGGAGTGTTTGCACATCCTTGGTTGCTTAACTTAGTGGGTTTTTAATACTAATCTGCATAATTTCAGGCTTTTCTTTTGCTGTCCATTTACTAACCTTTTCTTTTTTTTGACTTTGTCACTCTTTTTTGACTTTGTCACTCTTTTTGGAATTTTAGTTTCCTATACGTCACTATAATTTGGAGTCACTTTTGCCATTTGCATACTTTTTAACCAATATTTAGTGAGACGTTTGTTTGACACTTCTCTCCTGTAAATTTAGCAATAGTGAATCCAATAGTTAGTAGGCCCTCTAAACGGAACGCTACAATTCCGTGAATCCATGGTCAAAACAATGTACAGCCACTAACTCGCAGTCTCGCACAAAATTTTTGTATACAAAATAAATTTATAACCAGCTCTAGTTAGATATGGGTCATTTCCAATTTATTCAGCTAAATTCTGTTTATACTATTTAAGTGTATCATTTCTGATAAATTGACATCTTAATTGTTATTGTAATACATCATTCCAGTTAAGCATAATTTTTATTTTATCTTTTGCAAATACACCCACTGTACAAAATAAATTCCACCCGTCTTAATCCACTTATTTTAAAGTAGTATATCATTAATTTGCAGTGCGGTCAAGTTTCATGTAAGCAACCAGTCTTGATCTATCAGTCCATCATATATGTACTTATTTTTCCACTTTAGTTGGAAATGACAAGTTGATCGCAGAACTAGAAGAGAACTCTTCAAATGGTAAAATCGAAATTGGAAAGTTATGGACGGAAACCTGTGTAGAAAAAGCTTAAAATGCAAGTGGAAGATTTAGTCTGTGTAAAAGCGTGTGTCTGAAAGGATAAAGTAGAATAAACTGTAAACACACACACATAAATGTAATAGATGGGAGATTGCATACCTTTGTTTTCTCGAATTAGGACTATGCCCATAGCTACCTTAGATACAACTAGATAAATGAGGAGACGCTCTCCCGACTCTGATTTTGAAAGCAAGGGCCGCGACGACAAGTATGCCTTTAGTTCCCTCAAATCCTGGACGCACTCCGAAGTCCATTGGAGGCCGTTATTTTTCTTAAGTACGCCAAATATTTTATGGCACCTATCCGACGACCGCGAGATGAACCTTGATAAGGCGGCGATGCGGCCAGTCAACTTTTGGACCTATTTTTTGGTGGTCAAGAGCTTGGGTATCCCCTCAATGGCTTTGATTTGGTAAGGGTTGACCTCGATCCCTCGCTATGATACGAGGAAACCTAGAAACTTACCTGAGGCTACGTTGAACGCACACTTCTCCGGGTTCAGTTTCATTCTGTACCGTCTGAGTATGTCGAAAGTTTCTTCAGATGGTCGATGTGATAGTCTCCCCTTTTGGACTTGACCAGCATGTCATCTATATATACTTCCATTTTCTTACTGAGCTGATCCATGAACATCCTCGTCACCAACATTTGATAAGTTGCCCCTGTGTTCTTTAGTCCGAAGGGCATGACCTTGTAGCAGTACGTTCCTTGGTGGGTGATGAACGTGATTTTTTCCTGATCTTCCTCTTCCATGAGGATCTTATTATAGCCTATGTAAGCGTCCAAGAAACTTAGCAGCTCATGTCCGGCCGTTGCGTCAATGAATTGGTCGATGTGAGGCGTGGGAACGAGTCCTTTGGGCATACTTTGTTCAAGTCTGTGAAGTTTATGCACATCCGCCTTTTTCCATTCTTCTTTTTAACCATTACTACATTGGCGACCCAATTGGGGTACTTGGACTCCCTTATGAAACAATTTTCTAACAGTTTTTCCACCGCCTCGCGCACTGCGTCGTTGATCGCGGACTTGAATTTTCGCCTGACCTGCCTCACCGGGGGGTGGAAGGGGTCAAAATTTAGTTTATGCGTGGTGATTTCCTTTGGGATGCCTGGCATATCTGCATAGCTGAAAGCAAACAAATCCGCATTAGCTTTTAAGAGTTGACTAAATTTACCCAGTTCCTGAAGTTTGCAGCCACTATAGGCCATTTCCTATGGTCATTGGGATCTAATTGAATGGAGTCGAGGTGTTCTATGGTCGATCCTGCAGCTTCAACTACGTCGGGATCTTTGATACCTTCCCCGATCTCGTAGTACCCCGACCTCGACCCTACTGATTGCTATGCCTCTTTTTCTTTGTCCTTCCTTTGTTGGGTGGCTGTGTTGTTTAAAGCAATGCGGTAGCATTCCGGGACGTACACTACTCTCCTCGTATGCTGAATATTTCCCATTGAGTTGGGAATTTGACGACTTAGTATAAGCTAGAGGGGACGGACTTCATGGTGTGTATCCACAGTCGTCCCACTATAGCGTTGTACGCGGTGTCTTGGTCCATGATGTGGAATGTTGTTTCCAAAGTCACACCACCGGCTAAAACAGGGAGTGTAATTTCTCCGGACATCCGTTCAACTGCATTGCTAAAACTAATTAGCGTGATACTATCTTATCCTCGAGTTTTATTTAGGTAAGTACTCGGGGATGGATAATGCACGCGCCGCTCCCGTCATCTATCATAATGCATTTAACATCAGTATCTAAAACTTGTAGAGTAACAACGAGGGCATCATTATGAGGAAAATCTAAACCGTTGGCTTTCGACTTGTCAAAAATGATACTTTCTTCGAGTTTGTCGTACTGTTCGCGAGTGATAGATCGCTTGAGTTTGTGGGTAGTGGTGAACTTCACGATATTGATAGAGGCATCGTCATCGATAATCAAGTTGATGGTACGAGCTAGTGAGGGTGGTTTGGGCGGTCCATGATGTTCGTGTCCTCTGGCAAAGTTGGTTCTTCCCTTATCGCTTAGAAGCTTTTTAAGGTGTCCTTGTCGTAGCATATTCTCGACTTCCTGCCTTAGGACGATGCAGTCTTCCATCTTGTGCCCTCGTTCTTGATAGAACTCACAGAGGGCATCAGATTTTCTGGTGTTAAGGTCCGATCTCATCTTTGGCGGCCATTTCAATTTTGGCCCGAGCTTCTCCAGGTCATAGACTATCTCTGTAGGTGAAACACAAAAATTGTGAGCAGATAATAGGGGCCATACCTCTGTCGTTCCGATAGGTTCCCGTCCTTGATCTGGATGGACCTTCTTCGTAGCGGGGAGAGGGGGTGGCGACCGTTTTGATATATGGTTGGTGTCGTTCCCTATTAGGTCGCGGAATTGGATGATCTCTTCTGGCGTTGTCTCTTCGATCCTTTATTGATTCCGCTTGTACAAGGGTTAGCCGGTGGATTGGCCCGTTGAGGTCGTCCTCATCTATACGGACTTCGGCACAACAAGCATTGTGGATTTCGTCCCAAGTGGTTGGGGGGGGGTGTACTTCATTAACCGACTTAAAAGTTTCCTCGTTGCTCTTGAACCATCCCTGCTCAGCCCGTTCTAAAATGCTGCGACCGTTATACCTTCGGACATGTTTGGCAAAGTCATCCTTAATCGGTTGAACCGGGCAAGGAAGTCCCCTAGTCCCTCTCCTAGAGATTGTTTAACAACAAATATGTCGTTCACTCTCGCCTCGGCCTTTTTGGCTCCGGCGTGGGCCGCTACGAACTTGTCGGCCATTTATTTAAAGGTTTCAATGGAGCGTGCTGGTAGCTGCGAATACCAGGTTAATGCCCCTCCCGTGAGAGTTTCGCTGAACTTCTTCAGCAAGATGGAAGACACCTATTCTTTGGCGAGGTCGTTGCCTTTTACGGCAGTGACGTAATAAGTCACATGATCTTCAGAGTCGGTTATGCCATCATATATCCTAAGGTAGGGTAGCATTTTAAATGTTTTTGGTATAGTATGCGGGGCTGCATTATCACTATATGACTGTTCGACGAACCGGCAGGCATCCCTCTTCGGCAACAGCTTGGGGGTGCCCCATATTTTATCGACCCTTTCTTGGTGTTCTTTTATTTGATCTCGAAGTGCCTTGTTCTCATTCTCCATTTCTTCCATCCTTTTCAGAATGGCTGCAAGGGTATTGTCACATGCACTATCAATTACATTGTGAGTAATACCTCTCATTGGGGGAAAAGGCTGGTTGCATTGCTGGTCCACTTGTCGTATCGTGCATGTCCTTGCGTTCTCTGTAGTCGTGTCCCGGAGGGATTGTTGAGGACGCTAGTTAGCATGTCAGTTAGCCACGCTTCGAGGAGCTTTTTTACAGCTGGGGGCGTCTCTTCTCCCACAGATGTGGAGGCTCCCTTACCAAGAGATTTTGTGATGCTGCAGTGAGGGGGTGGTGACCCATCTCGTCTAGGGGAGGCGCTGGGCATTGCGTCTTCGTCTGCCTATTTTACAGCTTTCGTTGATGACGTTCATGAGGTTGGTTGGGAAGTCACTTATTATTCTCCTCTTTTCTTCTCGGTTACCTGCCATGTTGGGATTTGTGCACACAAAGAAATGAGATCTTGTTTTTGCTTGTTTTTTTTTACGTTAGTGAACCGTGCTAGTTATAGATCTAGAAGAAACTAAAAGTTTTAACTAAGAAATCTCCATAGACGACGCCAAATTATTTGACCAAAAATATGACTCTCGGTTTCAAATAATTAAATTTATGTGATTATGGGTTAAACTTAATTAACAATAATATTTTTAGATGTAGCTTCCCAAGATGTGATAAAGTGAGATAGATTTGGTCGAATAGCGATAACAATATGCAATAACTATTCCAAAAAGTATAAGCAATAATGTAGCATTTAATGACAATGAATAACAATAAATGATATTTAAGTAAATAGGAGGAATGATTCACCCAATAAAGGATGAACTAAATGGTTGTTCCTCCTGACAATGATGAGTGATAGACAAACTCTTGAATGTTTGAGTTATTCTCGGATCTGATGAAAAAGTATGAAATAATACATACAAGAATCTTAGTAAAAATGTGGTGTTTGTATCTTAGTGAGTGAGAGAGAGAATCTTTTTGTCAAAGTGTCTTCTTACAGCTGAATATCACATGCCTCATATCATTGCCTCTTTTTCTATTTATATGAGACATATTCCTAGTAAACCCTAATAGTACAAGTGCAGAGAATATCCACTAGAATATTCTCTTTAATATCCTATTTCGAAAACTAGCTATTACAGCTTCATCAACGTTGCTCGACCTCGACCATTATTGACATCTCGACCACGGCTCTCGTCGACTCTACGGCTACGAGTCTTGTTGCTTCCTGGTCCACCTCGACTAACGACGGCTCGAGAATTCTTTCTTTAGTGTTATCTTATCTTATATATTTTAGGGCAGATTTTGACTCATACAAAGGTATCATGATATTTTGAACATTTATTTGAGTTTTATTTGTTTTTATCAAAAAAAGTAATTGTTTTTACACAATTAGATCACAAGCTAATTTTACCTATGCGTGTATATTCAAACATATATTGGTAGCTTAGAAATAATATGAAAGTTTTATTAGAATCGATCAGATTAAACTGGAATGTCTAAAATCTACTTCGTTATCATTGGATAAAACTTAAATTTCACTACGTTCCTTTTTCTCTCGTTTTGTCAAAAATTACCTCTCTTTTCCCTTCCTTTCTTTATTATTCGTAAGAGTAGTTTAAACCACATACTAGCACATTTTTATCTCCGCTTTAACATAAACCTGGTAAGTCATCTAAGATTCAACCTCATGTAGAAGGCCTTTCCAAATATTATCACCAGATAATTGTATAAAAAATAATGTTATTAATCAACACAATTAGTAATATGTAGGCTACACTTTAATTAGTAAAATATAATTGTATAATCTTACATTTCTTACCTATCATAGTTGTAAACCATTCATTTTGTCTCCTTTTGGTCTTTCTGCTTGCATCCTCAAAATTCTAATGGCATGGACCTAGCTAGTCGTCAATTACCTCAAATGATTTCATTTAATCCAATCCCATCTAACAAAACCTTATAAGGTTAAGACTAGCTTCCAAAAGTCGGCAGACTTATGTGAATGAGACATTGTTTTCAATTCTACTTGAAAAGTACCAAAAAAACTATTACAGTAATAGAGAAATCATGGATGAAAATGACAACAACAATCTGAAGATAAATTATCCTTCGCCGTTTCTCACCTTCACTATCATCTGGTTTTGTCTTACGCTTGCTTCCCTTTTTTTGGGGAAACAAAGGCAGGCAAACTGGCAAAGTATCAAAACAAGATGGTCCATGACATGCACACAGTAACGCAAGGAGATGGGGCAATAAATCCAAACAACCTTTTTATCCAACGCAGCATTCATCTTTTCCAACGCACCATTCACTCTTTCACATGCCAATGTTTATTTCCAATGTCACCTAATTTCGGTCATCATAACTTTACCCCCTAAGAAGCATTTTACATAAACTCGAGCTATCGGAAAGGCTGGCCAAATGGGCCATCGAGCTAAGCGAGCACGATATCACGTACCGGCCGCGAACGTCGCTAAAGTCACAAGTGCTCGCTGACTTCGTCGCCGACTTCAGCGCAAAAATAATGCCTGAAGTCGAAAGGGAAGCCGTCCAAACTTACCCCCGAACACAAGACCTATGGGTCCTATACACCGATGGTGCATCGAATGCGTCAGGGTCAGAGCTAGGACTCGTACTCGTAGTCCCGATAGGCGAAGTAATTCGACAGTCTATAAGGTGCCCAAATATGACTAACAACAAGGCCGAGTATGAGGCCGTCATTGTAGGTTTGAGACTAGCTCTCAAGTAAGGGGCAAAACGGCTAAAACTACGTTGTGATTCTCAGCTTGTAGTCAACCAAGTCACAGGGACTTTCCAGATAAAGGAACAAAGATTGGAAAAATACTACACCAAAATCTGCAAGGTTCTTCCCGAGTTCGATGAATGCCAGCTCGACCAAATTCCATGGGCACAGAACGCCGAGGCAGATGGCCTCGTGAAACTAGCCGCAGCCACCAAAAGCATTACAATAGGAGATAAAAGCGTGGTCTATCTCCTCAACTCATCGCTAGACCAGGTCAAGGTAAGAACCATTAACTTAACTTGGGACTGGCACAATTGTATTATCATGTACTTGCAGGACGGAACACTCCGAGGCGATAAAAAAGAGGCCAATAAACTGAAAATGTAAGAAGCCATATACATTATCCTCCACAACGACCTGTACAAGAGAACTTACGGCGGACCTTTAGCGAAGTGCCTGGGCCCAAACCAAACTCGGTGCTTCCTTGAAGAAATCCACGAAGGCCATTGCGGGGCTCATTCCGGTAAACGAGCACCAGTCCGATGCCTCATACGGGCAGGATATTACTGGCCCGCCATAAAAAAAGAGGCTGCAAATTTCGTAAAAAGATGCAAGCAATGCCAGAAGTACACCCCAATGATTCACCAGGCAGGCAAACACCTCCACTCGGTCACCTCACCTTGGCCGTTCATCAAATGGGGAAAGGATATCGTAGGCCCCCTCCCGATAGGACGAGGTAATCTACGATTCCTTTTGGTTTTAACTGGCTATTTCTCTAAGTGAGTGAAAGCAGGAGACTTCGCCCAAATACGGGAACAAGAAGTAATCACCTTTATATGGAGAAACATCATATGCCGGTTCGGCCTTTCCAAGGAAATAAACTACGACAACGGACACCAATTCACAGGAAAGAAAACAGTAGAAATTTTCGAGAAATGGCATATCAAAAAAATACTCTCAACCTCGTACCATCCCGCGGGAAATGGGCAAGCAGAATCCTTCAACAAATCGATACTAAACATCATGAAGAAGAAGATTGAAGACGCCAAGGGACTGTGGCTGGAAGTACTACCAGAAGTATTGTGGGCTTACTGAACAACTCTGAAAACGAGCACAGGAGAAACACCCTATTCTTTGGTCTACAAGACCAAGGTGGTAACACCAGTCGAGGTCGGCGAGCCCAATTTAAGGTACTCCCATGAGAGTGACACAAACAACGATGAGAGCCAAAGGAAAGAACGTGACGAACGAAGAGATATGGCCTACATAAGAATGATCGCCCAAAAACAGCAAGCAGAACGCTATTATAACAAGAAAGCAAAGGTCAGGCCACTCAAAGTCGAGGATTACGTACTAAAAGCTAAAACTCAAGCAAGCAAAGATCCCAGGGAAGGCAAGCTGGGAACAAATTGGGATGACCCGTACAAAATCACAGCAAAAGCAGATAAAGGATCATTTCAACTAGAAACAGTGGAAGGAAATCTACTATCAAACAACTGGAATATTAGCCACCTCAAACACTTCAACTTCTAAAAGAAAAAGTGTCCCCCAAGTCATACTCTTTTTTCCCTCACTTGAGTTTTGTCCCAGTTGGGTTTTCTCAAGGAGGTTTTTAACGAGGCAATGAAGGGAACACTACAAGTCGAAGTACACGCAGGCAAGGCCCTGATTACTATTTCATTGCTCGACCTCTCACTATTCTCCAGATCGACCAATGAAGGGACTAGATAGACCGACACTAGGATTAGAACACCAGCAAATACCCAAAAATCTGTAACTTTCTCCAAGTATGTAACAAATGTAACAATGTCAAGGCAATAAACGTTACATTTATCAGCACATTTATCTTAAGTTTAGGTTATGTTCGACCTCGCTCGAACT